GGTATTTATAGAGATTTCACATTGTGAACAATTGGAAATTTTTGACCTAATGAAGCATTAATGAGAATCAAACAATTAAACAATTTCCAAAATTATTGTTTTGATTAAAATAACATTTTAATATTTATCCTTTTAATTTCAAAACAAATTTTGAAAAAATACTCTCTATTTGAGGAAAACATGTCACATTTGAGTTAAAATATACGTAAGCCCACAAAGAGCTAGACCGGTTCGGACATTCACGTTACCCATATTGTGCACGTCTCCACATTAACGAACCAACAATTGGTTCCACATTTTCCTCAACAATGTTTGGATCAATTTCTCTTTCAAAGCTCCAAAATTATAATAAAAAAAAGCAAACAAAAGTTTGTATCCATAGATTGAATCACAAGTCATTACATAAAAATCGAAAGTACACCACGTGTATCATTTATTTTTAAGAGAAAGAGTCATAATATTCTTCTTTATCGTTTAATTTGTCAAGATTATACCAAGAAGTGTTACACATCATTAATTCGTACACATACTTTAGTTTGAATTCTTTAATTCAAAAAGAGTTATGTCATTATCATATTTACCCTTTCCTTGTTTCTTTTAGTTTTACCTCTTTTCTTTCAATTCTAGTTTATTGATTATTGATATTTAGGGTTTGGATTTTAGACTCAACTCAAGCATAGATCCTATGTTCGATACCTACAAATTATAACCGTTCATAGTTCTTCTCCCCTAAGTTCTATCTTTTGATTTACAATCCTTGTTTAGTTCTCTTTTAGTTGTTGGAGAATTAAAATATATCCTTTGTTCTTAATTTTAAGAGAAAATAATCTCAGTGACCGAAAATGTCTTATAATATACGATTTTAACCAAGTTTTTTTGGATTTGCCAAAATGACCAACAAAATCGCAACGCGATCTTAAATTCGCAACGCGAACTCTAATTTTTCAACTCAGTTTCCAAATTCGCAACGCGATTTTGCGATAGTCCAAGTTCGCGTTGCGATTTTCCAAAATTTTCTCTAAAAAGATAGTATCCGCGCGGACGTGTCGAAGACACGTATTACCACGACCACGACCACGACCACGAGACGGCGGCAGCGGCGGTGCGCGAGAGTCCCCTTGTTCTCTTCCACTCAACAAGTAAGTGGGAAATCCAAGCCTTAAATACCCATTCCCAATAGTGTTTCCAATACTATGTGGGATTGAACATTGCCAACACTTGGGAATCTTTTATACTATCGCAACACATTCTTTATTGTTTCAAACTAAGATCTTACAAATGGCTTGGGAATCTTTTACACTATCACAACACATTATTTATTGTTTCAAACTCCACGTGAATTTGGAATAGTTAAAATGTAAACTTATTTTGGATTTTTCACTATCGCAACAACACATTTTAACTATCGCAACACATTTTAACTATCGCAACACATTTTTCAAAATCGCGTTGCGAATTTGGAAACTGAGTTGAAAAATTAGAGTTCGCGTTACGAATTTAAGATCGCGTTGCGATTTTGTTGGTCATTTTGGCAAATTCAAAAAAGTTAGTTAAAATCGTATATTATAAGGCATTTTCGGTCACTGAAGTTATTTTCTCTAATTTTAAATATGTTAATCAATAATTCACCAAACAATTCCAATATTAAGAGTGTTATTTTATTAAAGATCTCATATTTAAACAATATCTATAGAGTGCGTCTATTATTGACGGTTGAAACATAAAACGATTAATGCATTAACTTGGGAAGCTTCGTTGAGGGCTGGCCGTAGAGTGGAAGTCAATCTTTATGCCTACTGGGTGGACGAAGCTAAACACGGATAGCGAGCGACAACCTATGACCGAGTTAGCTTCCTGTGGAGGTATCATTCGCGATTAACATGGGAGATGAATGTCGGGTTTTACAAAGCCGACCGGTTGTTGTTCGATTCTGGATGCGGAACTGTGAAGTATTTATTTTGGATTAAACATTGCGTAGGAAATAATCTACAAAGAATTGTGGTAGAAATCGATAGTAAAGACGCGTTGTCGATACTCGAACGAGGATGGGGATCAAGGAGACTTCAGTGATGGTGTGACATATTCTTGATTTCATACCATAATAAAATCTATAATTTCGATATGTTTCGTGAAAATGTAATAAGATAGCTGATGGATTAGTTAGTTAGCATAGAAATTACCGTTTGAAACTCAGACGTTCTGGGAACCACCAATTTTCTCTTACGTAATAAAAATATATATTAAATGAATACTGCCTTATAATTATTTTAGATTATTTAAAAACTAAATAATCAAATAAATGCATTTATAGAGATTTCTTGAGTGTATGATAAAGTACACAAATGATCATTAATATATATTAGAATATATTTTAGCTTCAAAATTATAAAGTAATCATTAAATTTTATCAAACTATTATAAAATAATTTTTAAACAACTTTTCAAATTTTAATGAAAAAAATTATTTTAATATAATTTAATAATAATTACTTATATACTTTAACCTTGATTGTATCAAACTATTTTTTATATATTATATTTATTTTATGAGAGTATTATTTAGACTGCTGATACTTTTCTGTTTTGGGTTAAGTAGATAAGAATAAAGGTAACGTGTAAAATTAAAATTAAAAAGAATAAAATAACTTTTTTCGATATTAAAAATATTCTTTTTTATCATAAAGCGATAAAGATTGAAAGACTTAAAGTACTCTGAAAAAGGATAAATACAACAGATACTACCTACTAAATAAAGTTGACCAATTTGCCAAATCAGCAACTAGAGCCGTATCCAAACCCTGTCGTTTTGTAAAGCGTGGACATTTAACACACACTTTCACCGGCTATTACCGGTTAACTATCCCCCTTTTTTATGTTCTTACAAAAGCAAAAGGCAGTGGAAGAGTAGTCGTACGGTTGTTATTATTACTACAAATACAATTTTTAAAATTTGGGTAAACTACACCAATGATCACTAGTATTTGGGTAAATATTCGTTCTCATTATTGATGTTTAAAAAGTCACAAATCGGTCACTTGCATTATCGTTTGTTACAAAATGATGACTAATGTTATCGTTTGTTACAAAATGGTCACTCGACATAAACAGACGTCAACAAATCGTTATTACAGTAACAGAATACTGACGTGACATGTTCAACCAACTAACTCAATATGTTTGACCGACTGTTTGACTATTCTTTTTTCTTCTTCTTCTTCCTCTTCCTCCTCCTAAAAGTACTCCTTTGGTCACCTCAATGCCTTTATCTAAATTTACTCCACTTCCGATGAAATACATCACATTCTTAACTTTCTCAACAACACTAAACCTCCCTCCATTTTCATTCCTGGAACTTTTTAAAGCTTTTGACCCATACCATACTGCTTTTCTAAATGAACTACATTAAGCAATTCACTAGCCAAAAACTTCTTCCCAAAATATGAGTTTGGCCTGAACTCAAAACTTTTCATCCTCAACTCCTCTTCCTCTTCCATAGTTTCTAGTTACTAATGATATGGTAGCAATCTCAATGATTACCTCACTTCATACAAACCCTAAAAAATGCAATTATAACATCAATTCTTCGTGTAAAATTATAACTTTGCATAAAAAAATTGATTTAAAGAATCTCAACTTCCTTTCAAAACCCATAGTTCCCCATGTGAAGAACATAAGGAAAAAAACTTTAACATTCACTAGGTCGCTGTTTTCGGTACTCAATCATTTGAATACTATAATCTTTTCTAACAAAAGCAATTAAAATAGAAGATCAATAAAAATGTAAACAATTGGAGAAACTCCAACTGAACATATTCTTTATTTTAAGTAGTGGAAAAGCTCATTAAAAAGGAATAAAGTTAAAAAAAAGAAGCATTAGCATATTACCAGTACCAGAATGTTGATGAGAAAGAAGATGCTTGTGTTTAGAAATTTAGGGTTTTAGTGAGTTGAGAATGAAACCAAAGATTTTGCTTCTTGGTAGAATAAATGAAATCTGGTTGTTTCACTGGAAGTGGAGTAAATTTAGATAAAGGCATTGAAGTGACCAAAGGAGCAGCTCTAGGAGGAGGAGGAGGAAGAAGAAGAATAAGAGTCAAACGGCCGGTCAATCATGATGAGTCAGCTGGTTTAATGTGTCACATCAGTATTCTATTATTATAGTAACGATAATGACTATTAACATCAAGTGATCATTTTGTAACAAACGATAACGTTAGTGATCATTTTGTAACAAACGATAACGTTAGTGACCGATTTGTGACTTTTCAAACATTCGATGTGAAAACGAACATTTACCCAAACATTAGTACCATTGGCGTAGTTTACCCTTAAAATTTTTTGTTCTCAAAATTCTCCTCTTTCAGCTCTATAAATATCATATCTTCGCGCGCAGCATGTCTTTTCTTCTCTTTTTTTGTTTTCCTTTCTCCGGCCATTTCCGGAGAAATATTCTGTCCTTTATCTCTCTTGGGAATTGCTAGAGATTTTACTTTCCCCACGTATTTGCTTCCTTAAAAGGTTTCCTTTTATTTCCTTTTAATTGATATGAAGCTCTGGGTGTTTTGATTTGTTTCGTTTATGTTTTGGTTCTGCTTTTCTTATACAGGTGGCTTGAATTTTATTGTTTCTTACGTTTTTAGTTTTTTTTCCACCATGTTTTTTGTTGGTTTTTCTCGGTATGCATGATGCATCTTAATCTGCTTACTTAAATTCTTTTAACCTTATATATAATGCAGTAATAGATTCTTGTAATGAGCACTCCCTAATCCTTGTGTAATGATATGATGATGATTGTGGGGTAAAAGTTTAGTTTATCTTTACTTGATTTTGTTTTCTGTTCTATTACAAAAAGGAAAATGTTTATAGAATGGAGAACAAGGCAAGCCTTTTGTTTCATCAGCTTTATAAATGAAGTCTTAGCATTTCAGTTTACATATAAGCATGTTTCTTTGCTATTAGATCATTATTGTCATCTAAAATATCTGGGGACCTAATCCTTTCATCCTTCCTTTCTTGAACAGTGAATCTCTTGTTCTGAAACTTGAGAGTTTTACTTTTGTGCAGTTTAGACATAGAAATGGATGGGGCTAAACCGATGGGAATTAGAAATGTGAGCTCAATTTGCTCACTTACCGAATTGGATGATCATGATCTCTCACGCCTCCTTGAAAAGCCAAGGCTTATCAATAACATAGATAGGCAAAGATCATTTGATGAAAGGTCACTCAGTGAGCTCCCCATGCTTCGAGTAAGAGGGAGTTATGACAATTTTGACAGCATGCCCTCACCCGGTGTGAGGTCGGGTATCGATACTCCGGCTTCTTGGGACGGAAACTCATTAGATCCACACCCCATCGTGGCTGAAGCATGGAAGGCTCTCAGGAGGTCTTTGGTGTATTTCAGAGGCCAACCAGTCGGTACCATTGCCGCCTACGATCATGCATCAGAGGAAGTATTGAACTACGATCAGGTAAAGTTCTCATGAGATAGTAATATTGAAATTGAGGAGAACTTGAAATATTGTATTATTTTTAATGCTGAAAATCTATGGTAATCTGGTCAGGTATGATATTGAAAATTTCCAGTACTGTTTGCTTCATGATTAATAAACTCTTGACTTGTTTCAGGTTTTTGTTAGAGATTTTGTACCCAGTGCTTTGGCTTTTCTGATGAACGGAGAGCCTGAGATAGTTAAGAACTTCCTCTTGAAGACACTACAACTTCAAGGGTGGGAGAAAAAAATAGATAGATTCAAGCTAGGAGAAGGTGTAATGCCAGCTAGCTTCAAAGTTCTTCTTGACCCTGTACGTAAACTGGACACGCTCGTCGCAGACTTTGGGGAGAGCGCCATTGGAAGAGTTTCCCCTGTTGACTCTGGATTCTGGTGGATCATTCTGCTCCGTGCATATACAAAATCGACCGGGGATTTGTCTCTAGCTGAGAGACCCGAGTGTCAGAAAGGGATAAGGCTTATACTTATGCTGTGTCTGGCAGAAGGATTTGATACATTTCCTACACTTCTCTGTGCTGATGGATGCTGTATGATCGATCGGAGAATGGTAAATAAGCCTTGTATTCTTAATCTGTGCTGAATGGGAATAGGTATTTTCGTATGTATTTTACAGAAATGATGGTGTGAACTTATTTCACAGGATGTTTATGGTTATCCTATTGAAATTCAAGCCCTTTTCTATATGGCTTTGCGCTGTGCATCGATGATGCTGAAGCAAGACAGCGAGGGAAAAGAGTGCATCGAAAGAATCGAGAAGCGTTTGCATGCCTTGAGTTTTCACATGCGCAATTACTATTGGCTCGATTTTCAACAACTAAATGATATTTACAGATACAAAACTGAGGAGTATTCTCACACAGCAGTGAATAAGTTCAACGTCATTCCTGATTCCATCCCTGACTGGATATTTGACTTCATGCCGATGCGCGGTGGATACTTCATCGGGAATGTTAGTCCTACAAGGATGGATTTCCGATGGTTTTGTTTAGGCAACTGTATGGCGATTCTATCTTCTCTTGCAACTCCAGAGCAATCAATGGCTATCATGGATCTTATTGAATCCCGGTGGGATGAGCTTGTTGGAGAAATGCCTTTGAAAATAACTTATCCTGCAATAGAAAGTCATGAATGGCGAATTGTCACCGGTTGTGACCCTAAGAACACGAGATGGAGTTATCACAACGGAGGATCTTGGCCAGGTATGACCCCTCCTCTGATCGTATAAGAAAGGATAATCTTTGTGATCTTCACGTTTACTTTGATGTATAACAGTTATTGATCGCTTACGCAGTGCTTCTGTGGCTGCTAACTGCTGCTTGCATCAAAACCGGAAGGCCGCAAATGGCAAGACATGCGATTGATCTTGCGGAGACACGTTTGTTGAGAGACGGCTTTCCGGAATACTACGACGGAAAACTGGGGAGGTTCATAGGGAAACAAGCAAGGAAGTATCAGACATGGTCGATAGGTGGATATTTAGTGGCGAAAATGATGCTAGAGGATCCATCACACTTGGGGATGATATCTTTGGAAGAGGACAAACAGCGGAAGACGTTGATGAAGAGATCATCTTCCTGGAATTGCTAACCATGATTGGGTTGGGACTAGGGAGATCCCATTGTACCACTATTCTTTGGCCTTTGCCTATTTACTATTTTTATCAAATGTATGATAAAACCTTCTATCATATCACTTCCAATTCAACTCAATTTTTAATGCCATTATCTTGATACCATATTATGATTGATTATTTTTTTGTATAGATAGTGTAAAATTTATTTTACATAATTTATTTATTTTAATTTAAATTTCAGTATTTATACTTTTATAATCTAAAATTCTAAATCCTAAGCCTAAACCCTAAAATCTGAATATGGTTCTTAAAATATAAAATAAGCATGTACGTGTAAACTTTATTTTACACCGTTTCTATATCAAATAATTTTTTATTTTACCAACAGGAGTTGGTTCAAGTGGTAAGCAACTTGATATCGTTTAAGCAATGTCTCAAGTTAGAGTCTTTGTGTATGTAGAAAATCCCTGCCGGGAGACTCACCCACCAAAACTAAGTGTGCGACCTGGATCGGTTCAAATTAATCATGACTAAACCTTAGAATTTGAGGGAAACCAGAATAATAATAATAATAATAATTTTCTATTTTAAAATATATATATATCAATATACCTTGATTTGAAAGCCTAGAAGTAGGGAAATATATTTAAGGGTGAACTATTTATTTGATATATGTCTATTAATTATTTTCTGTTTTTGTTACTCAATTATTTTTAAAATTATGTTTATATTATGTTTTGGTTATATTTTGGTCATCTGTCATTAAAAAATTAACGGTGATAATGATGCATCATCATAAAGTATGATCATGTCAGTATTGAAAAATAAAAAATATCACTTCACTATCGCTATTAATTTTTTAACAACGTGTGATCAAAATAGAACCAAAACGTAACGTTAAGTGTGATTTTTATAATAAAGATAATAAATAAAAACATAATAATACATCCACATGATTCAAACGAAGATTAGAGATTTAATATTTAAAAATTATTAAAAGAATAATATTTTGATTTATGTAGATTGAAATTCGAGTTAATTCATTATGTTAAAAATCTTGTTTTGTTAATATTTATTTAGGTAAATGAATGAAAGCAACTTTGAGTTGTTTTTATTTTTTTAATCATTTTCAAGAAAATTAACCAAACACGTTTTGACTGTTAACTTTTTGAAAAGTAGTAAATAACTATTAATGTGTAAAACGAATGAAATGAGGTTTTTATCTAAAGTATGATGTATTTGTCGAATATAATGTTATCCTTTAGAGAAGTACTTTGGGTTACGATTGTTAGAATACTTGTAAATCTAGAAACTAACCTTTCTTCTTCTTCTTGGGAAATATTCAAAATGTGATCATAAAATAATAGTGCCAATATGACACGTGAGAAGAAAACTAACAAGGATGAAATCATAAAGCTTAACATTTGTCTCTCCTTACATACCCGATGACGGTCTTTCCACCTACTAACATTCACGGCGGCTTTGATCAACAAATGTTTTCTTTCCATTTTTCAACACCCATCTCTCAACGTCCCAATACTTCAACACTTTTAACCCATGATATATTATGGATGTGTTTTGGTTAAATTACTGAGTTCAAAGATTATTAAAGCGGCGAGACATTGAATTTTCCTTGCAATATGAATGCGAACTATTAGGTGAAGATTGGAACGGAACCACAAAACTTTATCTCTGACAAACAAAATTATTAAGTCAAATAAAGGAAGCTTCTATCTTATGACTTGATCAACCGTCCCTTGTCCTTCCTTTATATAAATTCTATTTCTCTCAAGGCTAGCTTTCCATATGGTCTGCTGCCGAATTCATAGTCATCGATGGCGGATCAACAGAGAATCCATCCCGTCTCCCACGTCGAAACGCCTCCACAAGCCTCTCCGACTGCCCCCTTGGTTCCCGTAGGCTCCACGAAATCCGACCACGTTAACCCTGGCCAAGAGCATCAACCCGACAACTCCCATGGCACTGCTCCTGTTAACCATACGAGGACTCCCAAGAAAAGAAGAAGCTGCTGGTGCAGGTGCTTGTGTTGGACACTGTCTATTCTCTTGCTCCTAATCGTCATTATAGGGATCATCGTCGGCATCTTATTCCTCGTTTTCCGACCGAAGCTGCCGGATTATTCCATCGACGGTCTGGAGGTAACGCGGTTCAATCTCAGCTCCAATTCTAGCTTGTCTGCTAGCTTCGATGTTAACATCACCGCCAGAAACCCCAACAGAAGAATCGGAATATATTACGAAGGAGGTAGCCGTATAACCGTACGGTACAACGAAACCCAACTGGTGCAAGGGTCAATACCAAAATTCTACCAAGGTCATCGGAACACGACCGTGATTGTTGTGCCGATGTCGGGACAAATCCAGAACGGTACCGCCTTGCTGGCGTCGCTGCAACAGCAGCGGCTGCAGACGGGGAACATACCTTTGTTGCTGAGGGCCAGACAACCTGTGAGGGTTAAGCTTGGGAGCTTAAAGCTGCCGGAAATGAAGTTCACGGTTCGGTGCCGGCTAGTGGTGGATGCTTTATCCGCTAACAATGCCATCAGAATTTCAAGAAGCAGCTGCAGGTTTAGGTTTAGGCTTTAGACCTCGAGTTTCTTCACTGCTTGGAATATTACTTTATCCATATTTTTTACATGCATTTTTATTTTCTTTAACTTTTCATAAAAAAAATGGAGGATTTTTACGAGGTTTTGTCCTCCATTACTTCTATACTATAAACTTTGGCTTCTTGGTACCTATGTATACGTAATACCTATTCTATTTATTCCCTAATCCATAAATCTTTTGTCAATTCAATATTTGAAAGTTACGAGTAGAGAAATATTAGATAATTAAAATAAGTTAAAATATAACATTAATAATTAAATGATGAAAACAAAATAACGTCAATAATTAGATGGTTAGATACATAATTTATCTTCAATAGTATTTTGGACCTCATTAATTTTTTTTTATAAATTATAAATTGAATTTTAATCATCCTAGAGGAGAGGGGGGACTATAGGGGAATGAAAGGCAGTCCTGAATGTAAAACCTATAATCTAAGAAAATATGATAAAACAAATATGAACAATTTGATCACCCGATTAGATATACTTATTAATCTTATTTTGATTACATTTTATTGTATCGATTACATATGTGAAATACAAAATTTAAGAAAAAATGTAAAATAAGGTCCATCAATATTATTTAATATAAAATTTATCCTATTATTTTTAAATTTTAGGAATAAATCTTAAAAACTAAGGTAAATTACGTATTTAGTACTTAAACTATCAGTTTTGATTTTAGTACCTAAACTTTCAAAAAGAAATTCAAAATCATACATAATATTTAGTTTTTGTTTCATTTAATTAGTACCTCGTTGTTAAAAACTTAACGTGTTTAGTACCTAAATTATCAGTTTTAGTACCTAAACTTTTGAATTTTTTTCAAAACTTAATGTTAAATTTTGAACGGTGTACTAAAATGAAACAAAAACTAAACTTTAGGCATGGTTTTAAAAAAACTAAAAGTTTAGGTACTAAAACGGACCAAAACTGATAGTTTAGATACTAAACGCATAATTTACCCTAAAAACTATTAGTACTCTCATGAAAGATTGATCGTCACTTAAATATGTTTGAATAACCCGGTTTAACTATAAATTTAAATGGTGCTTTTATAGGTGTACTTGTGTTCTTTCGTGAAATTAAATTGAGTTTCCGAGCATGTACTGATTGTTTAATGTGAAACGATGTCTTTATCCTTACATAAATAATTGGCTGTGTTTCTTAACCTTCGAAGTTTTCCGTAGTTTGTTACTCATATGTTCTTACGATGCATGATTAATATTGTATTGTATGTTAAAAATATTTTATTTGATAATTTTTGTAACATCTTTAATACCGGGTTAGTGACTAAATTGTTAAATTTCAGAACTTGATGATTAAAGTAGAATAATTGATTAGTTCAAGGACTTATATGAAAAATATTGTGTAGGATTGAATTGCCAAGAAGAAATAATAAAATGACAAAATGATCATTTGCAAGGAAATAATTAAATTATGTTATGGTTATATATTAACCCACGTGAAAATGGTAAGAAGCAAAAATCTAAACTTCCAGAGTTCTATTTTTCTCCTCTCTTCTTTATACGTGAAGGCCGAAAGCAAAGGTTAAATTTCTTATTATTTGATTATTAGTTGAAATTTAAGTTTGGTTTTGTTCTTGAGATTATACTTAAGCTTAAGTTACCTTAAAATTCAAAGATAAGGGAGTTAGGTGAGATTACAGAAAATAGGGGAATAAGTGAAATCTTGATAGGAAGAATGTTAATTAGATTTCAAGACTAAATTTGACATGTCATTAATGGAATTAAGGAGTATGAAGTGTTAGAATTGGATTTAGAACATGTTGAAAATTGATGATGATTCTTGAATTCCATATGGAAGATAGGATTTTAAGGTTAAAGATGTGATTAATGAGTATAAATGGGTTTAAGCATGTGTATGTGAGTTAAGTATATGAAAGGGGATGAAATTTGAAGCATTTGAGTTGAAATGAAGTAATTTTCAGGCTTAAAAAATGATTTCTGGGCAAGGGGTATCGGTACCCATTCATCAGGTACCAATACTTCAAGAGCAAAATTAAAGAAGATTTTCGAGGGGTATCGATACTTGAAGAACAGTATCAATACCAAGGGTATCGATACCAAGGGTACCGATACCTTAAGGAAGGTATCGATACCATCTTTGAATGAAAAATTACATAATACAATATGTAGATTGATACCTAGACTAAAAGAAAATATACCTTTAATGACACACGAATGATGACACACACTAATTTATGACTTGTAAAAAATATGTCATAAAAAATGTCATATTTTTTAAAATCTTATGTATCATATTTAATAATCATAATCCAAAAAATTTACAAAAACACATAATACATTTTTAATTATATGTCATATGTAAAAGTCATATTTTAATTTTTCTCATTATTTTCATCATTTCCCGGTTCTTCCCCTC